GGTACGACGATCTCTCTCTCTCTCTCTCTCTCTCTCTCTCTCTCTCTCTCTCTCTCCGTACATCCCCTTTCTCTCGTAATTCCTCTCTCGTAATCCTTAAATCGCGCACACCGCCTCGTTCTTGCTCGCAAAATATCCACGTATGTCTACGTATCGAGAAAACGTGTGTGCACGCGAACGAAAGGGGGGCGGAAAAGAACCTCTTTGTCGATCGAATAACGCGAAGGAAACTTTTCTTTCCCCTTGCTTCTTCTCTTTCCAATTTTTTTCTTCTCGACGTTCAAGCTCACGCGAACGTTGCTCCTTGAAGGGTGTACGGGGTGTCGTGCGAGCTTACGGATCACTTTTAATCCTCCTCTTCGCTTTCCTCCGCTGGCCCGTACATGTCGGCCAGCTTGTCGAATCTCGGCCCCCAAGCACCTAGGTACTCGTACTCGTGCTGCTCGTCGTCGGTTCCTGCTCGTTTAAAAAGAAATTTCTCGTTCGAATGTTCTAGACTTTTTTTCAGTAGACGAAAACAATAACAAGCGATAATTTGAATTTTAATTAATTCACAAGAGGCATAATCGAAAGAGGCATAATAAAATGAATTTGTGTTATTAATTTTTTTCCGTTACGTACCGGAAGCTAACGATGACAACGAGCCTGCGATGCTTCCGCCCCCCTCGTACGCGTAATTTCGAAGATCGTCGAACGGTGGCGCGTTGGGATCGCTGTCGGCTCTCTTTTTGTGATCCTCTATAAATATGCCCACGTTCGGCTCCGGTCCTAGCGTATCTAGAAAACGAAGATAATCGAATGTTGGATATCTCCTTGGAATGAAATGCCACCCAAAATGGATTCTCTGAATAACAAGAAGAAGGAAAATAAAAAGGAGAAAGAGAGAAACGACTTACAGGGTATTTTGCACGGTGGTAGCTTTCCTCCCATTTCCGGTATCGGGCCCCCAATAGGAATTTGAAGGGGGGTGATGTCGAACGCGGTCATGTCATCTTCTCCGCCACCCTCGTCGTCGTAGTTGATGATATTTTCTCTCACGTCGTCATCGGGTCCGGGATACTTAATGTGAGATTCTCTTCTTCTGTTGTACACAACGAATACCAAGACGAGAACTGCGAAACGGCACGAATAAAAAATCTTAAAATCTTGTTTCGTTTCGACCGCGAGAGGTAGTTTCTCTGATCACGCGCGACACGCACCAAGAATGATCAGAAGGCAGACCAAGATAGCCGCCAAAGCTCCCATGCTGAGCTTCAACGTTTGACCCTCTTGCACGAGCTCGCAATTCTCCCCCCAGAAACCATCTGGACAGATACATCTGTACCGGAAACGAGGATCCTGGTTGATGCATCTACCGCCGTTCAGGCAAGGATAGTCTATACATTCGTTCTTGTCCATGCATCCTTTGTTGTCAGGCGATGGGATTCTCCCTTCCCCGCATCTAATAAGAGCAGAGAGGAATTCTCTTATCGAATCCTGTGCGGGAGTTTAACGGGAGTTAAAACGATATACCCACGTGCAGTCGTACTCGTTCCAAAGATCGATACATTCGAAGGGTTCCGGACAAATGACGTTGGCGCAAGGCTTGTTCGAGGGACAATTCCTTTCCAAATTCCTGGCCATCGTCGCTTGACCCCATTGCGTTCCATTCATGGCAGGTGGTAACGGCAGATGCTTCCCTTCTAATCTTATATCGTCCAGACATCCTACATATTTCCGGATATAGTTCGTTTCACAGATCTTTTCTCGCCAACGTGATCGTGAAATTTGAAAAAAAAAAAAAAGAAGAAATTCTCATTCACCTTTCTGGTAATCAGCGTACACCTCGAACGTCCTGACCCCCGTGTACTCAGCCTTGCCACCCGCGAAAACGCCTTCCTGCTTGTCGACCAACAACCACTGATGTCCTTCGAACGAGAACGTCTCGTTGAACCTTCTTCCTTCCCCACCGTCCAACTCCAAGGTGGCGGCCGATCCGTATCTCGACACTCTGACCGTGTGCCATTGTCCATCGTCCACGGCTATCGCCGTCAACCATATATCCCTTTCCTCGGTTCTCAGGCTGTTCAAATTGTAGCGGAAGTGCAATCTGCTGTCCTTGATCTGAACAATTGTTTTCCATCGATTTGTTTCAAATTATTATTACTATTATTACTACTAGTATTCAAACGGACAAAACGCCAAGATACCTCCAAGATGGCGTACTCTCTGTTGTGCTGGTCGCTGACCCTGAACAACTCGCCGTGCACCTCTCGAGTGCGGAATCTCAGTTGGACCTGAGTGGAGTATTTATCCGGCTCGAAGGACAATGCGTATTTAACGTAACTCTGGGGCTTGAACGTGGTTGGTATGGTGGGTGTCATGCAACCGGGGCCGGTCCAACCCGGGTTGCACTGGCATCTGGCCTCGGTGAAGCTTCCCACGCAGGTGCCGTGCTCCCAGCAACGGAACGTCGATTCCTGATTGTTGCATATCTCGTCGGTTTGGGGGCAGCCGGCCACGCTGTTCCTCGACAGGCCGGGATGCGCCAGATCGTAAAGCTTGCTGTTGTGGAACAGATTCTTGATACACCCGTCGAAACCTTTGCCGACCGGCATGTGTTTCCACTTGTAGTGGGTCGGGTCGAATTGCTCCACGTATAAACCACCGATTTGAAGGGGGGCGTTCACGTTCAGGTACTCGTTGAACGGTGGTATCGTCCCTTGCGCTTGACAACTCGTGTCGTTGAACTCTGGCGGCGTGCCATCTTCCGGTTCCGAGATGTCCGCCGACTTGCAGTAGTCGATGATCAATTTCACCGTCTGTGAAAAACGGTGCAAATTTCAATTCCAACTCGGTAAGATTTTTAACCCTTTGCGCTCCAAGCCTTTCTCGTCCGAACCGATTTCTAACTTGAAACGCACAAAATATCTATCGCGTATCGTCAATTCCTACAAGGAACGGAATAATTCGTTATTCGAAAAATCAAACAACTCGCGTTGGGGCGCGAACGGTTTTTTTCGATTCTCAACGATCGAATTTCGCGTTTCCAAACCTCCGTGTTCCAAAAGATGTCGAGTCTGTGCCACTCCCCATCGTCCAACGTTCTCTTCGGTTTCACTTTCAATTCCAACGTGCCGGAACCGAAGTCTATCAACAGCCGAGGTATTCCGCGTTCCAACTCGACGGATATAAAGTCTGCAAACGATACTTTTTCATTTCACTTTTACCGCTTATAAACCACCCGTACAACTCATCTCACTTACCAGAGACCATAATTTCGTCGGCTTCGGGAGGGACTATGGGGCCGTTGTACAACAACAACCCGTCCGGTTTCTTCGTGATGAATTCGAAGCTCAGATGACTGTTGTCGCACATTTCCAGAGCTGGATACCAGGCCCACCCGTTCCCCCGGAAACTTCTCGCGGTTTGCTGACACCTGGGACCGTTGTATCCGGCGGGGCACTGGCACCTGGCCGTTCGAATCGAAAGATTCGTCGTATCAAAAAGATTGGTCGATCGAAACCAATTGCCAATTTTCCAACTTACGACAATCCGAATCTTCCCTCGACGCAACGGCCGCCGTTGTAGCAAGGGCTGCTCCTGCAAGACTCCCCTTTGCTGAAGTTGCGCGCCCCGCAGGTACACTCGGCGATCACGTCCACTCGAACGCCGACCAGGGCCGTCCTGTTCGCGTTCACCATGTACGGCAGGCTGCTGATATCCAACGTATTCGTGCAACTGCCCTCGCACACCTCGTTCTCGTAGTAACACTCGTCGATCCCCACCATGGTTATGTTGATGCCGACCTCCTTCTCGATCTGACGATCGGGAAAAGGGTTATAATATCACGTGGAAAGTCGAAGGACGGACTCACCTCCTCCCGATGCATCAACACGATTCCGTTCAATCGGACCGGTTTGTAATACGTGGACCCGTGCGCCGCGAATCTCACGTCCGTCAACGGGGGATGTACCCTGCGCAATTGAACGCTGAACACGTCCACGTTCTCCCTGTCGATGTTCAACAAATGCGCCAATTTGTCCCTGAATAATTCCGCTTTACTGCGCGACGTGGTTTGCGACTGAAACAAGGGGATCGGTCGAGATCGTTTCTCGGGATCGAGCAACAACAACAACAACAACGAGGGATACCTTGTAATCCCAGATACGAATGAAATCTTCGTCCGTTATGCCGGATATCCGAACGGATCCCGAGTTGAGCACGGCCTCGTGAGGGATGGTCTTGACGGTGACGGTGACGTTCGCCGGGACGTCCGTTTGCGTGTGCTTCCGGTCGTACACTTTGAAACGTAAATGGTATCTGCCGTCGTGCGTGCCCGATTTCATGTATATCATCCCCGTGTCCTCGTCCAATTTGAATTGGGCGTGTTCCAAACCCTCCCAGTAGAATTTCTTGTCGGCAAGTCCCAATCGTCCAAATCGAACACGTAAACTCTGCCTATCTCCGTGTCCGGTGATTGTCCCTGCGGCAACGAGTTAATTCGTTAATAATGTTACGACGTCGCTTAGTTTCTCTTTTCGTTTCTCTTTTGGTTGCCACCTACTGCGTAATTATATACAAAAATGTCCTTCGATCCAGGCTGCATCTTGTTGTCGTTGATATCCCCGATAATAACGGTTAAAGTACTGGTCCCAGACATGGATGGAGTCCCGGTATCTTTGATAACGATCGGTATCAAGTACTCCTTTTGTTGCTCCCTGTTGAACGACAGTAGCGAGGAAACAATCGCCATACCGTCCCCGTTCGCCCCCTCTGCAACGAAACGGCTCGTTATCGCGACGCTATTGTTTCTCATCCATCAGCATCACTGATCCCGCACTCACTGTTGTCGCTCTCCACTTTGAAACTGGCGCGAATCACGTCGTCCGCCTTCGGGTCCATCCTGAAGGTGAACGGCGGCCCGTTGCTCTTCGACCGATCGTCGTCGTCCGTTGCCGATATCTCCACCACTTTCTTCTGCTGGGAGTGCTCTTGCAACACCGGCCGATAATCCTTGAGGAAACGGGGCGGATTGTCGTTTATGTCGTGCACGATCACTGTCAACGTGGCCGTCGCCGTTTTCGGCGGGATCCCGTCGTCGATCGCCAAGATCTTCACCTGGACGGACGAATCACGTCGCGTCGAATCTCTCAGAGAGGAGGGGAGGGCGTATCGAGTAGGGAGGAACGTTACCTGATGTCTCGGAGTCTCCTCGCGGTCGAGACTCCTCTGGATCGACACCGTCCCATTCTCGTTGATGGAGAATTGCCTTTTGCGGTCGGAGCTTCGATCGATCGAGTAGTACACCTTGCTCTTACCGCCTTGATCGGGATCGGTGGCTTTGAACGTTTCCAAGCTGTTCCCGATGCGAGCGTTTTCCGGCACGGTCGTCTCGATATTCGCTTTCTCGAATTGCGGCTGGTTATCGTTTATGTCGCGCAGCTTCACAACCACCCACGAGTAGGCAACGTGATATTTGTCGTTGTCGTTGTCCTCCCCCTGGGCGAGAAGAAGGAAAAAGAAGGAAGATATAATCTTGATGGAAAAAAAAATTTGGAAGGGAATTGGAAAGGAGGGAGTACGCTACCTTGTCGTTCACCTGTATCCTAAACCTGAAACCGTTGCTCTGCAATTGGTCCTCGTAGTCCAACGATTGCACGATCTTGAGAGAGCCCGTGCCATCGTTGTTTCTCACCATGGTGAATTTGTCGGCACCGTAACCGCTGCTCTCGATCACCTAGATAACAAACGCCCTCCCGTCTCTTCTTCTTTCCATCTGTGAAACCGAAGAAATCGAAGAGGAAGGAACGTACCTTGTACTGGAACTTATTCGTCTCGTCCTCGTCGTGTACAGTGACAGTGAGAATCGGCATCTCCGGCAAATCCGGCCCCTCCGTTTCGTCCACTTCGGTGAACCATTCCTCCTTCGTGAATTGAGGAGGCATGTCGTTTATATCTTTCACACGTATCGACGCTGTCCCCGTCCCTGAACGTAAATATCGCTCGAAATATAATAATCTCTATAAACCATCCTCTCCCCACTTTCCCATCGCTTTTCGACTCACTCACCCTTCAACCCCCCTCCGTCCATAGCCACCACTTGTATAGAATAGTCGGGTGTGCGCTCTCTGTCCAAACAGCATACCGCCGTCTTTATCACGCCTGTGTCCGACTCGATCTCGAAGATGGGCGAGCCGGTCTCCTCTTCGATCACGTTCTTCTCGATCGAGTAAATCAATTTCGCGTTCGTGCCCTCGCTCGGGTCGTCGTAGTCGACCGCAGTCATGGTCATCACCACCATTCCTGACCAAGATAGATGATAGAAGGAAGGAGAAACAGTTTCGATTTTTATTCGAAAAGAAAGAAAGAAAGAAAGAAAGAAAGAAAGAAGGGGAAAGATTAAATCTTACCCGCCGTTCCGTTCTCCGTCACATTCCCGAAATAAATCCCTTGGGGGAACGTGGGCGCGTTGTCGTTGATATCCTTCAGGTTCACCTGCACGTCGGCATATCCGACCAAACCCTCCCCACCCTCGTCCTGAGCGAACACCGTGAATCGCCACTGCGGCCTCCCGTTCGGTTGATCCCTGTCCAGCGGCTGTGAAGGAATAGCGAGACCGATTCAAATTCTTTCTTCCACGAAAATGCGTGCATCGAGAATGATGTTTATCGAAAAAAGAAAAAAAAAGAAACTTTCCTCGAAACAGAAAACGATTATTTCCAAACACTTTTAATTACGCTCACGGAATCGAATAACAACGTTATACAGAATGTAATAATGTACAGGATATAATCCAAATAAGGGTATACAAAAATAGCAAAGTATACCTTTGTTGGAAAAAAAGTAAGGGCAAACTTTATTCGCAAATTAAGCAAAAATTACACGAAAATAGACGTCGTTTAATATCTGTTCTTCCTTTTTTTTTTTTTTTTTCCGTTTGCAAGCGGGATGGAGAAGAGTAGAGAAGGGAGAAAGAATTCTTTTTTTACGAAAAACGAAAATCGAAGGAAGAGAAGTTGCATTGATTACCTTTAGAACGTAAATTTCCCCGCTGGTGCGGTTGATGTCGAATTTACTGTTGGCTGGATTATCAGGATCGATACCCTGCCCGGTTAAAAAGTAGACGATATTCTGCGGCCTGTCCTTGTCGCCATCGGTCGCCGTCACCTGTTCGAAAAAGAGTTGAACAAGAGTGGATTACCTCCAATGCGCTAATTCATTGAAACGCGACAAATTGATATCTACGCGAAAAACGCGTTTCCCCTCTGTTTTTCGTTCATCCGTGACTTTTACCGTCATACGTGATTTTTACGTGCTTTGATCGCACATTTTTACATTTCGCGTTACACTCTCGCGTATTCTGCATATTTTATATTCCGGTATATGTGTATATATATATATATATAATCTACATCGCACAATCCATATTTTACGTTATATCCTTTGATGCAGAGAATTTTACATTCCGAATTTTATAGAATTGAATAAAACGAGAGAAATAGAGATTTGGATATCTGGAATTGCGCTCGATCGAAGCGACAGGATTGATCCGATTTTCGATCGATCGGAAAGCTGTGATCGGAAAATTCGCTCGATCGAGTTGGAAGAGAGATATGATATAATTACCCCGAGGACTCGTTTAGGCAATGTCCTGTCGTCTTCCTCGGTGATCTGCGTCTTGTAAGTTGGACGCTCGAAGACGGGTGGATTATCGTTCACGTCCTTCACGTGTATCACGACCGTCGTGTAATTTTCTTTCAAGTTGTCGGACGCGGTGAGGCGGAGCTCGTACTGCAAGATTAAAGCGGGACAAGTGGATAACAGTGTTTGCAGCTGACCTTTGCACCAACTGCACCGACAGCGGTCTCTTTCCGGGAATAATGGAAGCGGTTCCAGGAGAGGTTCCCGGCGATTTATGGGATATAAAAGAAAGAGAGAGAGAGAGAGAGAGAAAAGATAGAGAGTTCATTTTTTGATAAGCTTTAGAAATTAGACACGCGAAAGTTTTACGGCAAAGTTTTTGATAAAAGAGTTTATAAAGATGAAACATCGCCGTAGTTCGTTTAATGGCGTGGAAAAAAAATTTGCAAGAAATGAGATCACTTCCTGTTTAACGAGAGTTAAACTAAAAAACGGCGGGACGATGAAGTTTCCTAGCCAGTTACCGATACTCCAACTCGAGAGAAAACAGGTTAAAACTTTTTCAAAGAATATAAATAAATATCGTTACTTCGAAAATAAATAATCAAAAATAATCCGATTCTCGATAGAACAAATAGAAATGGAAGAATAGAGAACGCGCAATGCAAAGTTTTACTGTTCTAATTTTTGTCGGAAGTAACGAAACTGAGGACTCTGGGAACGTGGGTTGAAAGGATCAAGGAAAGAGAAGATTTTTCTTCCTCTCTCGTATCGCTGTCAGTGTTTTTTTTTCTTCGTAACATGTCACAACATCATACTGACCCTTTTCCTCGTCTCGTAATCTAACGCACCCGCGACATAGATGGCGCCAGTCATATTCTTCACGGCGAACGCGCCGCCTATGTTACCGCTCGTAATCTCGTATCGAATACGCGAGGCTGTAAAGTGCAAAAATACATCCTTTCACAGTTTCAGTTTCACTCTTGGCCGAATTGCTCTCTCTCTCTCTCTCTCTCTCTCTCTCCTCTCTCCTCCCCGTGTGTGGCGTCGACCACGCCACGGTAAAACGTCTTTAAATCGCTTTCGTTTAACGACTTGGCTTAACTGGAGAAAAAGACCAAGAGAGAGAGAGAGAGAGAGAGAGAGAGAGAGAGGAGGAGGAGG